TGGGGTGCCTACACATGCAACCGTTCAGTCAGACAATCTGGGAAGAAACTGACAGCACAAACAGCACTGACATCGATTAGCCGCCATTTCTTGCAGCGTCTCCAGCCAAGCACAGACGGGGTCACGGGGGCCCCATCCTGGAAGGCGTACAACACCAACAACACCCAAACCCTTCGTGATCTCTTTCACGCCTTTTTGCCAAGTCATGTGCTGTCCACCTCGTGGTTTGCGCCATCTTGAAGGAGGCACGAAGAACAACACTCGTCTCGGTAGACGGTGTTTCGGCATGCGTAGCACATGAACGAGCCATCGTAGTCGATGATGCTGGATGTTGAAGACCAGGTTTCTGGATTGGAGGTGGCAGATGGCCAGCTGAACTGCTGCTCGAAGTACTGTAACCAGCGGTCCAAACGTTCTGCTTTGCTGCATATCAGGGAGCCATTTTGGTCCCTGATTGTTTCACTGACAAGAGGTTTCCGAGAACCAATCGAACGGATCAAGTGGAACAACTTGCGCACGTTTCCAGCATTCTTTACATCTTCCATTTCTTCGGCCTTTCGGGTCCACTCAGCTTCTCGATATGCGCGGACGCTCAGTTTCACCTGGCGTCGGATGATACGCCGGGTGGAGTTGTGGTGGTGGCCGGGTGGAATTTGTCGCAGGATCTCTAGCAAAGACACGGTCCTATCAGAGACCCAATGCTTGGATGGGGTTGGTTGGGCTGTACCGCAAACAGACATTCCGGCTTTTAGTAGCGTTTTGGATATTTTTTCCCCAGTAGTCGTTTATATTCGACACCGTACCGTCCGGCAAGCATTCGAGGAGCTGGTTCTGATAGTCTCGTTTGACTTGTGGGTCCACTAGCTTCTCCATGGCTAAGCGAGGTGTGCGCGATTTGCGTACACCTGAAAAGTGCAATCAAAAGCAGCAGCGTACAAGTGCATGGTCGGAGTTCACGCTGGTGTTCCAGAAGGAGCGGCAGGCTGTGATTGACCCTCGCCACCGGTAACTGACGACAATGTGGATTCAGCGCTGGTTTAATGGTGGGCACCACGTTGTCAAGCGATTTCCGCTGTTCCGGAAATTCATACTGCACAGAAACAGTCTGTGATCGGCACACATCTGAAGTAAGCGGTCTCCGTTGTCCGTGCGTCTCGTGTCCAAACCAAGATGACCACCCAATCGGGCCTCAGCAGCGCTTAGTCTATCGACCTGGGCGTTCATATCACCAGCAACCACAACGATATCTGAGCTTTTAGTTTGTTATAGAAGGGCACCTAGAGCGTCACAGAAACTGTCCTTGGCAGACTCAGAGCTACAGTCAGTTGGGGCGTAAGCAGAAACAATAAACAAGGTGCGATGAACCTCACTTCCTCTAGATTCTCTCACCGATGTTGCCAAACGAA